TATATTGTTTTATATCATTAAATTTGGAGTGGCAGAAATAGATGATTGGAACAGAAGCGGGGGGGAGGAGGAAAAGGAGAGCGAGAGAAAGAAAGGGAACAAAAAGTACATTTTTGATAAAAATCAAAATATCTCACACTTCCAGATTTCAAACCATACTACAAAGCTGCACTAATTAAAACAGCCTGGTACTGGTATAATAATAGACATTTAGACCAATGGAATAGAATTAAAAGTCCAGAAATAAATCCATACATCTATGATCAACTGATTTTCGACAAGGGTGCTAAGTCCATTCAATGGGGAAGGAAGAGTCTTTTCAATAAATGGTTCTAGGACAACTAGATTTTCACATGCAGAGAAATGAATCAGGATCCATGCTTCACACTATACACAAAAACCAATTCAATATGGATCAAGGACCTAAACGTGAAAACTAAAACCATAAAACTCTCAGAAGAAAATGTACGGGGCAAGGCTATGGGACCTCGTGTTTAGCGATAGATTATCAGATATGATTACCAAAAGCCTGAGCAGCAAAGTCAAAATAGATAGATGGGACCTCATAAAAATTAAATACTTTATGTACCTCAAAGGACTTGATCAACAAAGTGAAAAGACAACCTACAGATTGGGAGAAATTTTTCAGGTACATGTACCATATAAGGACCTAATATCCAATATATATCTAAAACTTCTACAACAACAAAAAGACAAACAACCGAATCAAAAAACAGGCAAAGGACTTGGACAGTTCACCAAAAAGGATATTGAAATTGCCAACAAGCGCATGAAAAGATGGTCAACATCATTAGTCATTACCCAAAGAACCCATTGCCTTCAAGTCAATTTCAATTCATAGTGACCCTTGACAGAATAGAACTGTCTTATAGGGTTTCCAAAGCTGAAATCTTTACGGAAGCAGACCGCCACATCTTTCTCTCGCAGAGCGGCAGATGGGTTTGAACCACTGACCTTTTGGTTAGCAGTCAAGCACTTAACCGCTGCGCCAGCATGGCTCCTTCATCAGCCATCACGCATTAAAACCAAACCCGCCATCAAGTCAATTCTGACTCATAGCGACCCCATAGGGTTTCCAAAGCTATAAACCTCTACAGAAGCAGACTGCCACATTTTTCTCCTGCGGGCCCACTGGTAGTTTTGAACCACTGGGGCAGTTCTACTCTGTCCTATAGGGTCGGTATGAATCGCAATCGACTCAATCGCAACGGGTTTGGTTTCTTCTTTTTGACCTTTCAGTTAGCAGTCCATCGCTTTAACCACTGCGTCATCTGGGCAATGCACATCAAAACTACAATGAGATATCATCTCATCCTCATTACAATGGCAATGATAAAAACAAAAAACTGATGTTGACAAGGTTGTGGAGAAACTGGAACCCTCATCCATTGCTGGTGGGAATGTAAAATGCTGCAGCCACTGTGGAAAAGAGTTTAGTGGTTCCTCAAAAAGTTGAACATAAAATTAACATATGACATAGTAATCCAATCCTAGGTATATACTCAGCAATGAAGGCAGGCATGCAAACAGAAACCTGTACACCAATGTTCATTGCAGCACTTTTTACAATGCCAAAAGGTGAAACAGAAATGTCCATCAACAGCTGGAGGAATAAGTAAAATGTGGTATATATACACAATGGAATATTATGCAGCCATAAAGAGAAATGAAGTTTGGATGCATGCCACAACATGGATGAACATTGAAAACATACTGAAAGAAGTCAGTTGCAAAAGAACAAATACTGTATGAATGTCAGTTATATGGAATAAGCAAATATATAGAAACCAAAGATTATTAACGGTTACCAGGTGTGGGAGGGAGAGAGGAGCAGGACTTTGTTTGGTGGCATTGAGCTTATATTAATGGTGGTGAAATGTTTTGGAGGATATTGATGGTTGTAGAATACAAAAAACGTAATCAACTTCACTGAGTTGTAAATGTGGAAGTTGTGTTGGCAGATGTTTTGTTTTCATCCCATTGAAAAAGAGAAAAAATTAAAAATCAATTTTAAAAAATTACAAAGGATACTGTGATTAAAACATTTAAGACAAATAAATACACTAGTGAACTTGATGGTAACTGAGCGATTTCTCTCATATCGGGTAGGAAGGTCAATTTCTCTTGAAGTTGATAAACAAGGGTGATCATTCCATGCTTATCTCTGCCCAATATTTTTCCCTAGGAAGATGATAAAGATCCCAATCCAAACTGTATATTTTGAGGTAAACATTACAAAAACCATGTCTTTTGCAGCATGTTAAATCCCTTCAGAAAGGCTTGGGTATTTTATCTTACGGACCTTGTTTAAATTAGGACAATTTATCTTATGATAGAAAACCCAACAAAGTCACATGAACAGAATAAACAATTTATTGGCTCACATGTTGAGGGTAGGGCTAGCTAACTGGCTCCGGCAGTTCACCCAATGTTACATAGACTTGGTTTTCTTTTAGATTTGTTGGGGTCACCCTCAAACTTCCTGTGGTTATTTATGAATAACTCATAGATGAAGCAAAATTTAAGGAGTATGATCAGTCTAAAGAAATAGAACCATTAGCCTTATTTAGTGGTTTGTCATCTACCACAGCTGCTGCTTTTTATGGAATAATACCCTGAATTTGGTACACCAAACTCACCTGGGACAAGGAAATTTGAAGCTTCTGCAAGCCAGTTGCTGAGATCTACTAGCAAACAGTCCAAACAAGTCATTGGAGAGACAGGAGTTTGGCAAGGAGCAGGGACTACCTAGAGACTAGTCTCAGGAGGGAAGGGCTGGAGGAGATATAACTTAAGGTTGAGTAGAAGGTACAGCCAATTGGATTATAGTGTATAGTGGAATGAATCCCCCCACGGGGCAAGAACATAGTTTAAAAAAAATAGTAATTCGAAAGATTCCAACATTTGGTACACATGGCAGTCACTTCAGGTTATGGCTCTAAACCAGCATCCCTCTGTTCACAAGGTGGTCTTTACCCTCTTCCAATTCACAAGTTTTGTTCTAGCACTCACCTTACTTCTTCCAAGAACACGCTTCTCAATTCAACACACGTAGTTCAAATGAGGCTGAATCTCACTGGGGAGAAAGGGGCTGGGGACAGGAAATGGTGGAATTTGGTGTGACAGAATAGTCATGTCTACCAGGGGAAGGACCTTTCTAGCATTGCAGACCCATTTATCTGATCTGATTTATCATTTATCTGATAATTATACTTTGTTTAAAAATGTATGCACACACACAAAATTTTACACATACAATTGGAAGCTCATGGAACCCTTGGAGCCCATTCATGGACTGCTAGCCAGTTATGAACAGTTAGTGTATACCCTTTCAGATATTGGTCTTATGATGGAAAGTTGTTTTCGTTTTGTGTATGAATTCCTGAACAAGTTTTGAGGATGGGGCAGATGCTCTGGAAAGCTAGAACACAGAAAAATCCTAGATCATGTTAGTTATTTTTTCCCTTTAGTGTTGCTAACTTTGAAAGGTGTATTATCAACCTGCCTTAAAACAAAAAAAAGAAAAAAAACTTAACATTTTTAAAATTATAATTCATTTTTTCCCTGTCATCATAAAAAAATGTATAATAAGTACTACCCCCATCAATAGTTTTGACACACCATTCGAACTTCCCTGGGATTTAGACCACTGGAATATATTTTGGATGCCGATTCTCAGTTTTTGAAGATTTATTTCGTCACTATAATTTACCTTTTTTGACACTGTTGTATATGCAATATACTTCTCTAATTTTATTTTCCACTGCAACTGAGCAGTCAGCCAAGTAGATCAAGACTACTGAGCTTCCAACTGAGGATAATGATTTGCCAATTTCCAGTAATTTTTATTAAAAAAGGGCAATACAAGAAAATAGACGATCAATTATATAAACCGTTGTTAGTTGCTGTTGATTCTGACTCATGGTGACCCTACATGTGCAGAGCAGAATGGCTCCACAGGGTTTTCAATGCTGTTACCTTTTGGAAGCAGATTGCCAGACCTGTCTTCCAAGGTGCCACTGGGTGGGTTCTAACTGCCAACCTTTCTAATATTCAAGCACCTAACCATTTGTACCACCCATGGACTCCATAATACTGCTATACAAAAGATGGGCAAAACTGAACTTTTGGCTGGCATCAGCTCCATCTTACAATATCATGCAATATGTTTGACAGCCTATGTCTGAAAGTCTGAGTGACAAAGTATACAATGCTTAAAAACATGGTTTTAAGAAACCATAAATATTATACAAATTGTTCTGTAACCTGCTTTTCTTAAACACGTACCTTCAAAAGCCTTGACCATTATTACAGGTTACAAAGTTCCAAGTGAATCTTGTATTATTATTGATAAGCATCTTTTCCTGTTTTCTGGAGGGGTATTCACTGCTCACTGATTTATAAAAGGTCTTTGTACATTAAGATTATTTATCCTTTGATATGCTGCAAATATTTTTTCTCAATTGGGTGGCAATCTTCTACAAACACAAAACTCTGGCACTAAACTATCTGAGTTAAAACCTGGCTCTGACACTTTCCAGCTATACAACTTTGGCAAGTTCCTAAATGGTATCTGTTACATGTCTGTAAACAGGAACAACAGCACCTGTCTCCTAAGATTTTTGTGAGGATCAAATTATTTTTATTCATGTAGGTTTAATTCCTCTACCCAAAGTGCTCAGAACAGCGATCAGCACAAGTTAAGCGTTATGTAACTGTCGATGATGATGATGTAGCTGATGACAAGAAGACACTGCATTTCTGAAGTCTTGTCTGGTAATCAAAAATTTATTTAGAATTACCTCTGTAGTAGACAAAGGTATGAACCAAAAGCTTCCAAATTCTTGTACGTGCTGAAAGTTTTCCATAAAGATTTCTTGGATGCAAATTAAGACCCAGGTGGTCAAAATTTATTCTGTGTCAGAGTATTATTCGAAAGTCCTATTTATCTTGAAAAAAAGCTTCCCCTCACCCAAGGCTATAAAAATACTACCAAGTTGAAATTTTTTATTTTGCTAAAACAATAGAGAAATAATACAACAGTTCACACATTCTATGGTTTCTATACATTTAACCACCAATGATTTCCATAAGATGCTGCTGCCCTCCGTGGTTCAGAAGTAGTTCAGATGCCTGATATTCTGTGAAAGCTCAACTCTCCCTTCTCTTTACCCACCAAATTCACTTTTCTTTTTAAAAGTCTTGTCGAATGTTTTCTTTGTTTGCCTCTCCATGTTGCTGCTTAATTTGATAGATTTCATTTTCTAGCTGTACAATAGTCCGTTCAATCTCATAATTCTTACTAACCAGGGATACCCAACTAGAACAGAAAAAAAGGGAAAAATTACCCAACATAAAATTTCTTTTGGAAGATTTTATGGTATATACATTTTCGCTAAGTATCATAACGCAAACCTTCATTTTTAACTTTCCATTAAAAAATGGAGGCACAATTGAGGGAACTAGGTAAAAGGCACACTGTATCACTCTCTTTTATTTTTTATAACTGCATGTGAAACTACAATTAGCTCAAAAAAAAAGTTTAATTAAAAACAAACAAACAATAAAACCCCGGCAAATTGCGAGTAGCCATCCAAGGCATGATAATTGGTCTCTATTTACCTGAAGCAACAGAGGAAGAAGGAAACCCAGGAATAGGAGGAGGATATGGAATGTGTGGCTAACTGCCTCCATGAACAACTGCCTCCTTTGGCATGAGACCAGAAAAGCTGGATGCTAACATTACTGAACATTTTGATCAAAGATTCTATAGAAGAATCCTGACCAAAAGGGAGAATGTGTAGAATAGAATTTCAAATTCTCATGGACTCTATAGACTTTCTGGAGCCAAGGGGGCTGGAAGAACCCCTGAAACTACTGCCCTGAGATAATCTATAAAACTTAAACCAAAAATATCTCTTCAAAATCTTATTAAAACCAAACAACAGATTAGCTTACCTACTAAAAAATGTCTGCCTTGGGCATTATGCTTTTTTAAGAACTATTCATATGGGACCAAAGTGACAATGGTAACTCAGAAGATTAGATGGGAACCTTAAGGGCAGTGAGTTTATGTTAATGGGGGAGGAACAACCCAGAAAAAGAGGGTGAGAATGGTTGCACAACTCAAAGAATATAATCAACGTCACTGAATTGTACATGTAGAAACGGCTGAATTGGTTTATGTTTTGCTGTGTATATTCTCAACAACAACAAAATAAAAAAAAAGGCAAATTGGACACAGTTGAGAACTGGTAAAACAGAAGAGACATAGAAGACAGGGTGATGGAAGACAGTGTTTAAATTGGATTAACAGAAAAGGAGAGAAAATAGGGCAATATTTAAAGAGATAATGGTGGAGAACTTTCTAAAACTAAAAACAAAACAAAACAACAACAACCCACAGATTCAAGGAGCCTTCACCCTCTCCATCAAAAAAATCTCTAGGACAAATAAAAACAAACACATGCCCGCACACACATCTATATATATAAGATTAGCTTGAAAAAAAATGTGGAAGGATACACAATAGACTGATAACATGGGGTACATGGGCATGGAGGTGGAGGGGAGGGTGGAGCAAGGAGAATGATGTGGGTTATGAAGGCAGGAAGGGCAGGGATATAGCAAAGCAAAAAGGAAAGAAATAACAAAAAATCATGATGATATGTAGGGATTTAAGGAGCCCTGGTGGCAATGGTTAAGTCCTTAGCTGCTAACAAAAAGGTTGGTGGTTGAAACCCATGCAGCGGCTCCACTGGAGAAAGATCTGGCGATCTGCTCCTGTAAACAGCACATCCTAGAAAACCCTATGAGACAGTTCTACTCTGTTACATGGGGTTGCTGTGAGTTGAAATTGACTCGAAGGCACCTAACAACATGTAGGGATTTGTATAAACTGATTTGTGTGTGCAGATGTAGAAGGACATTTTAAAAATAGAATGTATAAACAAACAGAAAAAAGAGAGACAGAAAACGTACAGAATCTCCCTCCTGCAAGGTTTAAGAAAAAGACAGATAATTTGTTTTCTTCTTTTTAAGTGGAGAATATAAGTAGAATCTGATTCAGAACCAGAAACAGCAGACTGAAAACAGGGCTCTCTAAGACCAGGATCATTTAGAAGTAGTTCAACTCTTGTTTATAACTCTCTCACTGCCTTCTAAGCTGACACGTCAGATAGGAGCAGAGGCAATGAAGGGTCGGATCCAGAAAGTACCACTCCTTTGATACTGTGGCATCACATTCGAACACTAATCATATTATTGAATCTTGACATTAAAAATGTACTAAGCAACTAAAAAAGACTGAATTGTAGATACTTACGTTGACTCCATTTCTCTCAATTTAGACCCAGCTGTTAGTTGCATGTTCTTTCGCTGCCAGTTTAAATCTTGAATATGTTTCCTGTAGAAAATTATTTATACAACCCAATTACACTTTAATGGAAGACTAAAAGGAACAGAAAAATCAATAATCAACACAAGACAGTATCTTTAACCCCTTAAGAACATATATATGTATATATATAGTTATAAACTAATTCCAGAAATTTGCTAATTATTTTTCAGTTAAAAATTTGATAAAACACGTGACAAATTAACACACACACATTAAATTCGAGAGCCCCGCTTCCCATGCTGTCCTCCTCCCCGGTAAGTGTTGTTCAGTTTGGTGAGCATCTATCCACGCTCTTTTCTATTATGTGTATGTGCACAGAGAGATTAGTTTATTACATACAATCAGACTACATGTTATTTACTCTAGAACTTTTCTCCCTTCTAAAAATGCCTTTTCTATGTCTTCAGACTTACAAGGTGCAAATGACCTGGCAGAGATGTTTTTAGATTTCAGGCCTATTTCTCCTCCACTCAGTGCAAACTCTGTCAGAAGCTGGACAAAGAGTAGATCAATCTTTTACTCTCATGTGACTGTAATCTCACAGATTTCTTTTTCTTCCACTCTCATTGTATTTATTACAGGTTCACCTAAACTTTACTCAAAATAACAGGAACAATTTACCTTAACTTCTGGAGCTCTTTCTGGGCATGTTCAATCATATGAACTAGATTTCTAAAGAAGGAAAAGAGGTTAAGGTACAATTAAAACTTATTCGTACCAACTAAAAGTGAATTATCTGGTTGATGCAAAGTTAAGTATTTCTGCTAAAAGCAGTTAATATTTATTGAGATTTCTATGCCAAGCACCATGTTAGATACTTTATATTGTTGTTGTTAGTTGCTGCTGAGTCGGCCCCCAGTTCATGGTGACTCCATGCAAAATGGCACTGGACCATTGTAATCCAGAGGATTTTCACTGGCTGATTTTCAGAAGTAGCTCACCAAGCCTTTCTCCTTAATCTGTCTTAGTGTGAAAACTCTGCTGAAACCTGTTCAGCATCATAGCAACATGCAAGCCTCCACGGGCAGACAAGCAGTGGCTGTGTTTGAGGTACACTGACTAGGAATGAACCTAGGTTGCCTAGAAGGCGAGAATTCTACCACTGACCACCAATGCCCTTCATAAATATTTGTTGTGTGCTGCCACATTGATTCTGACTCATATATGAGCATAAGTTATAAATACTAGCTAATTTAATTTTCACAGGAATTCTTTGAGGTAAATATAACACCTGACCCAAGCCATATTTTCAATTGCCTCATATGCATGTGAAAGCTGGACAATGAATAAGGAAGACCAAAGAATTGATGAATTTGAATTATGGTGTTGTTGAAGAATGACGAATATACCATGGACTGCCAGAAGAACAAACAAGTCTTGGAAGAAGTACAGCCAGAATGCTCCTTGGCAGGGAGAACGGTGAGACTCTGTCTTACATAATTTGGACATGTTATCAGGAGGGACTAGTCCCTGGAGAAGGCCATCATGTTTGGTAAAGCAGAGGGTCAGTGAAAATGAGGAAGACCTTCAACAGGATGGACTGACACAGTGTCTACAACAATGGGCTCAAACATAGCAAAGACTGTGAAGATGGCGTAGGACCAGGCAGTGTTTTGTTCTGTTGTTCACAGGGTCACTATGAGTTAGAACTGACTTGACGGCACCCAACAACAACAATAATTTCACATGTGAAGAACGAGGTATGTGTCAGAGCTGGATCCTTATCCAAGTCTTTTCAACTCTAGAGCCCAGATACCCTGATTTTGAGCACTTAAGTCACTTCTTAAAACTGTCATGACTTCTTTTCATGGATGGAAAATACCTAATATGGGTACACCCATTTAGACACCGTTTTACCTCTGTATCTACATCTATCTTACCACTCTCCCCTCCTGTCTACTGCTAACTAGAGAGAGGAGATGAAAAGAAAACTGTTGTGGAAGGCTGGAGATACAGACTTCTGTCCAAGTCTGCTCTGACCAGCACAGGGAAAGTTTACTGATACAGAGTACTATATGATTATTATTAAAGAACAGATTCAATAGTAGACTTCAATTTTTCTTTTTAAAATAGCAGCTTTATTGAGATATAATTCACATACTGTATCAATTTCCTTTTAAGGCAGTAGATCAATCATCTTCCTGGTCCATTTCAACCTATCTGGCTCTGCTGTGCTCTTGCTCTGGATTCAATATTGTTTGCTGACCTTTGTGACTCAAATTTCCTGCTGCTCACCCGAGTTACTCTATCTCTGACTGCTTTCCCTTCACTAACTGTAATTCTCTCAAGAGTCAGTCTTTACACAGCTGTGCCTCCCTAGGTTTTCCCTCAGCTCATCCCAATTCATGTGGCTTCAATCACCACTCTATGCAGAGGACTATCTAATTTAGTACTCAGGGGACACTGAGCTTCTGTTAAGGGTGATGAAAAAATCTGGAATAGATAAGGGTGATGGTTGAACAACATGATGAACATAATTTAATGTCACTGAACTGTACACGTGAAGAGTGTTGAAATGGAAAATGTTTTGTTACATATTTACCACAATTAAAAAAAAAAATTAGTACTCTATTTCTGGCCTCTGACCATTAGCTGGGAGTTTTCCTTTGATGATCTCTTCCTGAAGCCTAGTATATTTGTTGTCTTCACCCTTTGTGATGGTTTATGTTATGGATCAACATGGCTAGGCTATGATTCTCAGCAGTTCGGCAGATACTGTGTAATCATCTCCCATTCTGTGATCTGATGTGAGCAGCCAATCAGTTGGAAAAGAAGCTTCCTTGTGGGTGTGGCACACACCCCGTGATATGAATGGATATTCTGGCAAAGCTTACTCTCTTTCACTTTTGTTTTTGCTTGGCCTCTGGTTCTCGGAAACCAGAAACCTTCAGCCTGCCACCTGACCTGCAGATTTTGGATTCACCACCACCTGCAACCATGTGAACCAGTGGGAGCCTTCAGCCTGCTGCCTGACCCACAGATTTGGGACTTGCCAGCCCCCACAACTGCATGAGCCATTTCCTCATAACTGCGTGAACCATTTGCTTGACGTAAATTTCTATCTATGCGACACTGGTTTTCCTCCTCTAGAGAACCCAGACTAAGACACCCTTCTTCTATCTTCTTTCTCAAGCATATAGGTCCCCCTTCAAGTACAGCGAACAAACTTCTAAATGAACCAGACTCCACTGTTATCACAGGAGTCAGAAGATGTGAGTTCCAGTCCCAGCTCTGCCCTAAACAGCTATATGTCCTTAGATGAGTCACTTGACATCACTGCAGCTATGCCTATTTATTTGTAAAATCAGGGGCTGACCCTGAAGATTTCTAAAGGTTTCTCTTTAGTAATAAAGTTCTAAGGTGCAAGTACAGCATTTTCTCCTTATTAATGAAATACTATTTCTGCAGCAGTCCTGCACCAAGACCGTCTTAGGGCTAAAAGTTTTTTGTCCAGTATGTATGAGACCTTCAAAGCCTTGCATGAGGGAAGAAAATTTACTTTGATAAGATACAGTACACCTCCTCTGGAGAAGTGTCCACTGGGATTGGAGGAAACAAAATATGCTCTGAAGAAAAGTTAAATACTACAGAGTACTATGCGGTTAAATGAAAAACAAATGATGAGCATAGTAATTAGTATACTAACTCAGAGAAGGACAGATTATTATAGGCAGTATTTCAATCAGGGAAGACAAGCAAGCAGACTCAAGTTGGGTCTTGAGTTGAATTTGAGTAGAACCAGAAGGAGGCAAGGCATGAGCAAAGATCTAGAGGCAGGGTTTATGATCATTTCTAGAGAGAGGACTCATTTGGCTCAAGTGAAAATCTAACAAATGAAGTTGGGAAGGCTTTGCATACCATGTTAAACAGTCTGGACCTTACCCTGCAGGTAATGGGGAATTACTAAAGGTTTCCAGGTGGCTGAGTAACAAGTTGAAAGCAATGTTCTTTGTAATTCAGTGTTCTTTCCCCTACATCCATGTTTTGCACCATTCCTGGAATGCTCCTTCTCCTCTAAATATCCAAATCTCGGACTTCTTTAATGACCCTCATTCTTAGTGTCCCTCTCTGAATCTCGATAGTTTATACACCATAGCACACAATGTAGCACTTGCCCCTACACCACCAAAAACAGACTAGTGGTTATTTTGCACAGGACATCTTGTATCCTCAACTAGATAAAGCTTCTTGAGAACAAGCATCACATATTTTCCACTCTGTGAAACACAGATGTGTTTTTGATTGAACTGTCTCATAAATGTCTTAATAACCCTGATTGCATTCTTTCTTTTTTCCCTCTTCAACATATTCACAAAAGAAAGCAAATTGTTTCTTGTGCAGTATTTCCCAAATTCTGGATTCTGCCCACTGGACCCATGTTGCCACAGAAAGATAAAACACTTCTCTGAAGATGTGAGAAAAGGTATTTATCATTTTGTAGTTTTGCTTTACTTTATACTGTTATGTTTTAGGAAACACACTCTAGCAAATAGTTTTACATACAGTCATGAAGTTTAGTAGCCTTTTCTCTCTTAAATTGTTCGGAGACTCGAGAACTTAGGCTGAAAGGGACCAAAGACATAATCTAACCCTCAATCTTTACTAATAAGGAAACTGAAGTCTAGATAGATAATAACAGAAATAGGAGTTCAGAGGCTAGTTCTGGCAGCAAAATCCTTTCTAGGGTAATTCTCCAGTTAAAAGGAATCACCAGATTTAGAATTACATTCCACCAAATAGTAATCTGTAAATCACACTTCCGTATTCTTGAACTTTGAGGTGGGTCTCAAAGCAGTGGTCTTTCACATGGGTTTTAGGGGCATGGGCCCAAGACAAAGTCTAGCTATACTTATTTTCATCCCACTTCCCTTAGCCTGATCCCTTCCCCACTTTAAAAAATAACAAAACTGGGACTGGAATGGGTTTTAAACAAATAAAGTAAACAAAGAAAAGCTTCTTACTCATTATATACTTTCCAGGCATTGCATCCATGCTGTGACATTAGTTCCAGATTCTCAATTCGAACTGCTTGATGTTCTAACTGGGCCATAGAATTATTTACACATTCTTGCCATGCAGTAATATCATTTTTCTGACCTGAGGAAGGGGCTGGAAGCTCATATCTAAAATTAAACAGCAAAAAAGGAAAACAAAATCATATATTCCCCCAAACCTTCATTCTTCCTAACAGAATGTCCATGGGTCTAAACACACTATAAATACCACAAAGACTGAAAATAAGATGCAGACCTCCCAATAAGAAGAAACCTCTTTATCCTAAGAATCAATTTACAAATAAGATTTAAAATCATTATATACAATAGCAAAAAATTATTCACTTCAATATCAATGCAAGGAAACTAAATAAGCTATAACATTCACAAGAAGTACTGTTAGAGTAACTATTAAATGATGTTACAGAATACTTAATAACATTAAGACATCTGTAATATATTAAGGGAAAAAAGTAGAATACAGTAAACTATGCTACCACATTTGTAAAACACACACACACCTCTAGAGGAAAAGATGGGAAGGATATAACAATTCTTTGCATCTGGACCTCACTTTGTATTATCCCTTTCTTCAACATTCCCAGTATAATTGGCAAATACACACCTCAGCAAGAAATATATTTTACACTGTGATCCAGTACACAAATATACGTAACTAAAGTTTCACAAAATATTTACTTTTACATGCAATGCACTCTGATATATCCTATTCTACTTCCTTTAAATAAAGTGCTGGTAGTACCTTACTTCACAACCCACTGCTTAATGGGTCATTATAGTTTGAAACATACTTCTGTAAAGGAGTTGCTATCATTATAAAAACCATTAGAGCAGAGGCAACAAAAAATGGGAGACTTGAGGAGTCCCAGAAGTTGTCTACCTCATAGCTCTGTCCTGTCTTCATCACTCAGGCCAGATAGGAAAACAGAGAACAAGAAAAGAAATCCTAGTCCCCTGGTATGATGGTCAATGTCGTGTCACCTTGGCTAGGCTATGATTCTCAGTGATTTGGCAGATGCCATGTAATCACCTTCCATCACGTGATCTGATGTGAGCAGCCAATCAACTGAAAGGAGAGTTTCCTTAGGGGTGGGGCCTGCCTCCAGTAAGTGGATGTTCTGGCAAAGGTCACTCTTTCTCAGTCCTGTACTCCTCTCCTTGCCTAACCTCTGGTTCTTGGGATATAAGCCTGTATTACTCTCTGGCCTGCTGCCTGACCTGCAGATTTTGGGTTTGTCAGCCCCTGCAACCACAAGAGCCAGCAGAGGTCTTCAGCTTGTTGCCTGGCCCACAGATTTGACACTTGCCAGCCTCCACAAGTGCATGAGCCATTTCCTTGAAGTAAATTTCTCTCTATATATATTTACGTATGCTTCACTGGTTTTGCTCCTCTTGAGTACCCAGACCAAGACATTTGGTACCAAGAGTGGTTCTAGAGGAACAAAATCTTAAGGATTGAGTTTTCTAAATTGGTTCTCAAGTCTGGCTAGACTTAAACACACGAATGACTCTATTTCCAGTAGGGAAGAGGCCACTGTTAATCCACATTATGATGTGGCAACAGAAATACGAAAAATATCACCACTATTGGATCAAATACTTGTGCGAGACAAGACTCTTCTGGGGGACTGTGTATTTGATGCCTTTCAACACTTCTGTCAAACTGAGAAGCATAATGAAGGTGGCAGGTTGGTCCTACTTTTGGTAGATAAAGTAGAGAAAGAAAAGGTGTGCCACTCCAGCAAGACACCTTCACTACCTTACATCAGTGGTATATAAACTCTCCAACCCTATGTCATATTTAGTACGCAGGGATCTTGATCGTCTTTCCCTTCCATAAGATGTTAACTGGCCCATTACATTGATGACATTATGCTGACTGGATCTAGTAAGGAAGAATTATCAAGTACTCTACACTTATTGGTAAGATATCTGCATGCTAGAGGGTAGGAAATTAACCTGACAAAAAATTCAGGCAGCTCCCACCTCAGTGAAATTTCTAGGGGTCCAGTGAATTGGGGCATGTTGAGCTATTCCTTCTAAAGTGAAGGATAAGCTGTTACATCTGGCTCCTCCTAAAACTAAAACGGAAGCACAAAGCCTGGTGGGACTCTGGATTTTGGAGACAACATATTTTTGCTTCCTGTCCCCATGACCCTATGCCCTGTGGGTCTAGGTGTTACTTCCATAAGAGAGGAATGCTCCCACCAGGAGACACAACACTGATTCCACTGAAGTGAAAGTTAAGAATGTCATCCAGCCACTTTGGGCTCCTTATGCCTATGGATCAATAGGCAAAGAAGGGAGTTATCATACTGGCTGGTGAGATTGATCCTGATTACTAAGGGGAAACTGGATTGATAGTACATAATGGAGGTAAAGAATATTGTGTCTGGAATACAGGAGATGCCCTAGGGCGTCTCTTAGTAGTACCCTGCCCTGTGATTAAAGTCAATGGAAAACTAGAACAACTCAATTCCTATATGACTACTAACGACCCAGACCCTTCAGAAATAAAGTTCTGGGTCACTCCACCAGGCAAAGAACCATGACTAGCTGAGGCGCTTGCTGAGGGCAAAGGGAATACAGAATGGGTGGTGGAAGAAGGCAGCTCTAAGTATCAGCTATCACCATGTGACCAGTTGAAGAAACAACAACTGTAATTGTTATGAGTGTTTTTTTCCTTGTTTTGTGTGTATTTGTGTATATCAAATATCTTTTTTTTTTTTTCACCGTGCTTTAGGTAAAAGTTTACAGAATTAGTTTCTCATTAAACAATTAATACACATATTGTTTTTGTGACGTTGGTTGCCAACCCCACGACATGTTAACAATCTCCCCTTCTCCACTTTGGGTTTCCCACTTCAACTTGTCCAGCTTTCCTCTCCCCTCCTGCCTTCTAGTCCTTGCCCCTGGGCTGGTGTGCCCATTGAGTCTCGTATACGTGGTTGAACTACGTGTGTTATTGTTTTATAGGCCTAATCTTTGGCTGAAGGGTGAACCTCTGGAGTGACTTCAGTACTGAGTTAAAAGAGGGTCCGGGGATCAAATATCTGTCTTCTTCCTTCAATTATGTCATTTCTTATTATAAAATAACAAGATGTAAAAAGGGCCAGAGCATTTTCATTTGTATACACACGTTAGCTTTATCATGTTAGGTGTAAATATGACTTTATAATTGTCTTTATTTAGAGATTATGTATGATTTAAGGAGATGTGTATAGATGCCAAGTTGATAATGGGTGGACTATTATGATTAATGTGAAGTGTCAATTTGGCTAGGCTATGATTCTCAGTGGCTTGGCAGTCACTATGTAATCACCTTCCATTTTGTGATCTGATGTGAGCAGCTGAAAGGGGAGTTTCTTTGGGGGTGTGGCCTGCCTCTAGTATATAAATGGATGTTCTGGCAAACCTCGCTCTTTCTCAGCCCTGCACTCTTCTCATTGCCTGACCTCCAGTTCTTGGGATGTAAGCCTGCATACGTCTCTGGTCTGCTGCCTGACTTGAAGATTTTGGATTTGCCAACCCATGCAACCCCATAAACCAGCAGAGGCCTCCAGTCTACTGAATGACCTGCAGATTTTGGGTTTGTGAGCCCTGCAACCATGTGAGCCAGCAGAGGTCTTCAGTCTGTCACCTGATCCACAGATTTGGGACTTGCCAGCCCCCACAAGTGCGTGAGCCATTTCCTTGAAGTAAATTTATCTCTCTATATACATATACGCTTCACTGGTTTTGTTCCTCTTGAGAACCCAGACTAAGAATACCTAGTTCCAAAGACTCAAGCCCCTCTTATACTATATGCTGAAAGGATAGCCCTGTTGTTCGTGTATCCCATTGTGCTAAATAAGAGGGATGGCGGGCAAATTCCACCTTCATTGTTAACTGCATGGCAAGGATCAGCATAAACCTCCATCCAGTCCTCACCTTCCCACTTCTCCAGCCTTGCTGCCAGGTGCTTTAAGCAGCACTTTCTCTCTGATCCCAGCCAACCAGAGCTGTTTCCAAGCTCACAAGTTAAAAGGACATTATCCTTTAGACCAAGTGCTCATGCAGCCCTTCTGACTCTCACCACCCCGAGTCAGGTCAGAGCATCCAAGGTAAGAGAACACAGTCCTTCAGACTGCCAAATCGGCAGACACCAGCCAGTGCTGGCTCTGACTACCCCTGTGGGTTCACTCCTTCCCTGGAATACCTCACAGATTTTACAGAGGGTATACCATACCAATTTATTATAAACAGAAAAAATACAAAGAGACACATAGGGCAAAGTCTGGGACGGGTCCCAACAAGAGCCTCCATGTTTCCAGGGATAAGTGTCCCTCTCCCGTGCATGATATCTTTTTCCAACCAGGAAGCTCATGGAACTTCCATGCTTAGGGCCTTTATTTAGCCTCACTGCGTAGTTATGATTGGGACATCAGTGAATATGCATGACTGACTAAATCATATCCCTCGCCCTTCCTGAAGTTAGCTGACTAGGTGTGGTCTCTGTGGCCTGGCCAGCCACCACCGGTTTGCACAAATCCTCAAGTGTTGCCTGGAGGTGATAATAAAGGCACTTTGATTACTCGAGAAATTCCAAGGGTTATCTCTTGGGAACCAAAGACAAAGACCAAATTCAGTATTTGGTCACACACCCTCTCTGCTCTGACAGCTTATGTTAATAGTGGTTCTCACAGTTCCATAGTATCTTAGCACTGACAGCAAATTCAGGTGTTAATCAATCCAATTCTCTGTTTTAGAGAAAGTAACAAAGGGTGCCTGTTCCCCACCCCACAAGGGGAAAGGAAGGAGAAACAGTGGTATGGGAGGGGAGATAGTGGAGCCACAGTCAAACTATTAGCCAGGAACCCTACAATTACTAATACTGTCTTTTCTAAGAGTGAAGCAAGAATCATTATAACATTGGTTACACTACATGATTAGGGAAGAACTAGATGACTAATCAGAGATATTTCCTTGGGAATTCTTATATATAAACTTTAAGTCACATTACCATTTTCCTGCTGCTGGAATTAAAAAAATTTTGCACCTTTAAGTAATGGTGCAAAGAACACCTTTCAACATTAAAATAGTATTATATGAACTACTGTTACATGAAAAAACATAAAACATATAAAAATATACAGGAAATTTTTTTCAACATTTACTTTAACATGGTCAAAGCACAGCTTTACTAAGAAATAAAAGTGAACAATGATTGAACCCTGCTGAACCCAGAAACAGGACTTACCGTTTCATACTGAGTAATTCAATTGGTTGTCGAGCAGCCAATCTTTCAAATTCATTTCTCATTATGTCAGTCTGATGTACAAATCAGAGAAATAATTATTTCCAAGATTGTAACTACGAATTGAAATTAGCAATCACCAAACAAATAATGAATCTAACCTACTCGAGTATTTACATACACCATTATCAACTGCCATCAAGTCAACTCTGACTCATGGTGACCCCATGTGTGTCAGAGTAGAATGGCGCTCTACAGCATTTTCAAAGACTGATTTTTCAGGAGATCACCAGGCCTTTCTTCCGAGGTACCTCTGAGTGGACTCAAACCTCCAACCTTTTGGTTAGCAGCCGAATGCATTAACAGTATATGCACCAACCAGTGACTCCTAGGTACTTATACTATCAATTTTAATGTATCATTTCCCTTTCCCTAAGTCCTCTCTGAACTAAATGCTCTTGGGGAACAGGAGCAGAGAACATATGCGCACACACAGCGAATTCATATTTCTTCAATTCCGTACCTAGCTCAGGCAGAAAACGTGGAATATAAATAAGTACTCCACAGAAAAAAGAATCCTAAATCAGTGGTTCTCAATCCCAGCAGCACATCAGAATCAACTGGGGTGCTCTGCAAACAATTCCAATCCTGGCCATCTCTCATCCTTCTCCCCTACTGACATTTAATTGGTCTGAGATGGGGCCTGGATATGGTTATTATCATTTGTTTTTAAGTCACTACTTGATCCTAAAGTAAAGCCAGTGTTGAGAACCATGGATCTAAGTATGCACTGGGGAGGGGGAAAGAGGAGAGAACTTGGGACATAAAATAATTTGCTTTAGGGCTATAAGCCTAAACCTATACTTTCTTTTTGGCTGTTATTTTCATACTTTGCTTTATACAACGGATGGAAGAGGGGGGCAAAAGGAACTGCTTCTGCTATCTGCTCTAGCAGTTTTACTGTTTTCAATGTTCTGACAATATCCTATTCTACTTCTGTTCTGCACATTTCCTACTCCAAGTATAAAGAACTGTTTAAGTACAATATTCATTTATATTAATATCTCATTTATCCCATGTAATTTCAATATACTGTAGGCTTCAACTATCCTTACAACGGAAGACTAAAAAATAAGCAAAAAGGGCCTTCCAGAACTCAAACTTCTGTTTCTAAGTTTTTGAACAGCTTTACTGAGATATAATTCACATACCATACAATCCACCCATTTAAAATACACAATTCAATGACTTTTAGTGTATTCATAGATATGGTCATCCATTACCCATCATCAATTTTAGAACATTTTCAGAAGCTCCCCCCAAAATTCTGCACCCCTTAGCCATCACCTTTCTAATCTCTCATCCCCCCTCCCTCCTAAGCAACCACTAATCTACTTTCTTTTTTTATAGATTTCTTTATTCTGGAAATATGAATGGAATCATATAATATGTGGACTTTTGTGACTGACTTATTTCATTTAGCATAATGGTTTCAAGGTTCATCCATGCTGTAGCATGCATCAGTACCTCATTCCTTTTTATGGTGTTTACCAGTGATCAGCTGATAGACATTTTGGTTATTTCTACCTTTTGGCTATTACGAATAATGCTACTATAGCATTTATGTACAAGTTTTTGTGCAGACATACACTTTCATTTTTTGAATATACACCTAGGAGTGGAATCGCTGGGTCTGTTTAAAAGTTTTGCATCAAGCATTTCTCAATGTAGAAAGCCTTTCTTGGGCTATTGCTAAATTACATACAACTCTAAGAAAGCGTGGCTATCTAGTTTCCTGCAAAAAACTAGGGCATTTTAGCTAGAGGGCTATGCACAATGACAAGGAGTAGCAACTAACACTGAGATAAGAGACAAACTATAAAAATGCTGTGCAAGTGGTCTTGAGCCATGTATCATAGAAACCCTTAGCTAACTCACAAAGACAGTAAGTAACAGATCTGGAATTTTAGCTCAACTCCCTTAGAAGATGGAGCCCACGCTCATGGAGTTCTTGCAAGGATTAAATGAGATCTCATGAAAAGTTCTTTTGGGTATGTCTGGCATACTGTAAGCATCCATTAAATAAAACTGCCTTAGAAGCTCTTCATACATTCAACTGATATTTGGGTTGCTATCATGTGCCAGGAGCCCTGCTGGCATAGTGGTTAAGAGCTTGGCTGCTAACCAAAAGGTCGGCAGTTCAAATCCACCAGCTGCTCCTTGGAAACTCTATGGGGCAGTTCTACTCTGTCCTATAGGGTCACTATGAGTCAGAACCGACTCAATGGCACCTCACAACAACAACAACATCGTGTGCCAGGCACTCTTCTAGGTGATGAAGATACAGTGGTGAAGAGGACAAACAAAGCTGCAGCTCATGGAGCTAACATTCAGCCTCATCTCAGCAGAGAGGCTTTCCTCAAGAATCCAATCTAAAGCAGCCACCCAGTCACTCTACTGCATCACTACTTTCATTCTTTGTATAGCGTTTATGAGTAACCTACTATTTGCTGATTTATCTGTCTGTCTCAGCATGGTAGAATGTTAAGTTCCATGAGGATAGACCTTGCCTATCCTGTTCCCCCATGTGTAGCCCATAACAGATCTTCAAAAATAGTTGTAAAATGAATAAATGGAAGAGTAGTTTCAAGGGCAATTTGAAGAGTGATTAAGTTCTTAGGCATAGTTTCCCATCTAAACAATGGGGATAATAAACATTATTTGTTCATAGGGCTGTTTTGACAACAAAGTGAGCCCAGTACAATATTTAGCTCCTATTACTAAGAAAGGATTAAATAATCAGTATACTAATTATAACGGTAGAAAACATGATGTATTTAAGAGAGCAAAATTCAATAAAGTAAAATAAAATAAATTAAAAAACTGGTTAAAATATTTAAGTTTCAGATATCAGACTTTCAGGCAACATGGCACTATAGTCAGAAGCACCACACTGTCCCTCTGCAGCAAAGATCAGAAAAACTAAATCAAACAGAGTCACACGTCAATCCTGAAACCCTAAGCACCAAATGGAGAGATAAAGAACTCAGCCAAGCACCAAATGGAATAAGAAACTGACCGAGAACAGACAGCGAGGAGAGATACATGCAGAGGTCCCGTATCAGCTACGCAGCACAGATCCACCATTTTGGACTCCTGTCAGAGATCAGCGAACAGGGGGTATAAGAAAGCTTCATGGAGCTTCCAGAAGGAGACAGAACAACCACCTGGGAGTGCCTTCTAGTTGGGCAGTACCACACAGCTTGGAAGCTACTCCCTTACTCTGCGCAGACGCACGGGGACATCCCCGGGGGCATTTCTCTTTTCTTTTTTTTGTTTGTTTTTGGGTATTTTTGTTTCTTTGTTTTGTTTTTTTCTCTCTCTTATTCCCTTTTTGTCTATTTTCATTTCCAGTTTCTTGATTTAGTCATTTTTTTCTTTTATCCTTTTTCTTTTTTTAATTTTTGTTTTTCCTCATTTCTCAGTCTCTCGTCTCTCCACACAAATTGCAAGCTTCCTTAGCAGTCTTTTTTGTGTGTATGTTTTTGGCTCCTGTTCCTCTCTCCTCTCTCTCATGTTTCCCATACCCATCTTAGCTCCACACATCACAATCTACCCCCTCCTTCCTGCCTACCTGCACTGTGCACTGAACATCACACTCCCAAGCAGCCCAGGCAAGGCCTACTGGAACCTGCCCTGCACTGATTCCTGGTCCACACTGTCAGCCCTGGTACGTGCCACAGACAACCCATCCCAGCAACTCCCCTTCAGCTGGACCTGCCCTGCTGTACCATACCTGAGTGACTGACCCTGCCCACTGGAGAAGCAGGTGAAAAGTATTGTGCCCACAGACAAGCAAACAACAAAGAATTCACAGCCCACCTGCTCAGATGAAAACGAATAAAACAAACAAGCAGGATGAAACAAACAAATCTACAATCAATAAACGAGGAAAATAACCACTGAGTGCCCCGAAGACAGCAGACAATATCAAAACATTTACAAAAACAGGACAGGATGGTTCCAGTAGGTGTCCAAAAGAAAACACCAGATGACTTTCCAGTAGAAGAAAAGGCACTAGACCTAACTGATAGGGAATTCAAATCTCTAATATTCAGAATTATCCAAGAATTGAAGCAAAAAGCAGACAAAAATGAGGAAAAAATACACAAATTCACAGAAAAGGCAGACAAATTCATGGAAAATACAGACAAAAAAATGGAAGAATTCAAGGAAATAATACAGGGACAAAATGCCAAAATAAATTCACAACTAGAAAACATACAAAAACAACAATTAGAAATTCAAAAGATAAACAACAAGATTTCAGAAATGGACGTCACAGAAGGGCTGAGGAGCAGGTTTCAAACGATGGAAGACAGGATCAGTGAAATTGAAGACAAACACTTGGATACAACTCTGTTTGAGGAGAAATCAGAAAAAAGAACGAAGAAAAATGAAGAAACCCTGAGAATTATGTGGGATACAATCAAAAGCAAAAATCTGCGAGTGATCGGAGTTCCAGAACAGGGGGAGAAAACAG